AATCTTCCTTAGGATCAGTATGATGCCTGAAATATACTATGTACTCCCTTGCACGTTTAGGAGGTCTACCCCTGCCAGGTGGCTTGGGAACAGACGTGTCTCTGTGGTCCAGGATATCGTCGATGTGCACGTGGCCATCCATGGTTGGGGGCAACATAGATCTCCGTGATGGGAACTGTTTTGTCTCAGCGAAGGGTGCAAGCTTGGAGGCGTGAAAAACAGGGTAAGTGCGTAGGTGACCAGGGATACGAATGACGTACGAGGGACCATCCAAATCATTGCCCACAATATCTAAGACTTCCCAGGGACCGAAATCCTAAACCATTAGTTTCCTAGAGATGCCAAACTCCTTTCCTAGCTCACAAGCCTTAACCCAGACAGTGTCACGTTCCCCTACCTGAAATGTGAACTGTCGGCGATGCATGTTCTCATAAGAAATCATGGCTTCCTGAGATTTCTTCATGTGTTCGACAGTCTGCTGCAACAATTTCTCGTACTGGACACCAAATTCGATGGTTCCCGGAGTTGCAGCAGTTCGGTTTTCAGACAGGAGGAAGTCTAGAGCAGACCTAGGCTTCCATCCTAGATGCAGCAACTGTTGATTAGGGCTGACACCGGTAGTGCTATGTACAACATTGTTGTGCAAACTGGCGATGAGAGGTAGTTTCTCATCCAAGTCATCCTGGCTGGGCTTGATGTAATGCCTCAGCAGATGCTGCACCACCCGGTTCATATGTTCAACCTACCCATTTGCTTCGCGTTGATTCCCAGAAGTCATCTGAAGTTGGCTGCCCATCTGTTCAGCGGCCTTCTTCCACATCTCACTGGTAAACCGGACATCTCTATCACTAACAATGGTCTTTGGTAGTCCAAAGTCACGCACCCTGTTGTCCATGAACAACTTAATGACGTGCTCAGTCCTCGCAGTGTCCGACATGGCAATTAGAGTAACATACTTAGTGAACTGATCCACTATGATGAAGATGTGCCCATTGCCATTCTTGCTGGTCACGAGAGTATACATTAAGTCCATGGAGATACTCTGCCCTGGGCCAACAAGAATGGGTACGTGGTGCATAGAGAACTCGTTACGGACTTTGTGTTGTTTTCTTTGAAAAGGGCGGTGGTGTCTTTTGAGCCTTTTTTTGCGACGAACGTGATCCAGATACGCGGCGGATAGTAAACTCAGTACGAACTTTCTGGGGTGTTGGCGGTGATCTCCTTTGGAAAAACGTGTGATGCGACATGGTGCAAGTTGTCCTGATCCCGTCAAGATCAGCAAAGTAACTTTTTTAGTTTCTAGTTTCCCAGATTTTTCTAGACTTCTGAAGAATCATATAGGACATGAATTTGGTACAGGTTTTGGTATATCAGACAGAACATGTATCCAGTACGCTTAAGGTACTGGTTCAATGTAGGGAAGTTCGAGCGGGTCTCAAGCTATGGAGGTAATAAGTTTTGGCGGGGAGTTGATGAGCTTGGCGGCGGGACAAGTTTGCAAATTAGGTGTTCTAGACTGTTCATAGACCACTGACTATCGTAGTTAGACACAAGTCATATAAGCAAGGTTTGCAATGGTCTAAACACCGACCAAAGACCCATGATGATCTTGGTTGGCGACCAGGTTAAACCGGTAGGGTCGTTCGCCAGGCGGAACTCCTATTTCGTCATGGTGCTGTTTTTCATGTTTACCATTTTCAAGCAGTTGCGTTCGGGTTTATCACTTTACGGCTTGTCTTGTGTCCATTCTCTCCCCCCTCTCTCTCACCTTTCTCTCTCTCCCCCCGTCTTTCTTGCTAGATTTCACATGATGTTGTATTTATGTCATACGGTAGACATGTTGGATGTCCTAACAGTTGCTGATTAAGCACTAGGCTACCAGAGTGGCCTAGGACCACTTGCCCGACCATGCCTAAAAAAAATAAAAAATATGTATTATTAATATTTTTCTCTATTTTTTATTTGGTAAGGGACCCTGGGGCAAATGTTGTTCAGTCTAGATGCCAAGCGGAGGATCAAGAAATATACGGTCAGGTGAGTGTCATCTTAACGGCCACGAACATTATGGAAGGACTTGAGGAAGGTGCCCTCTGGAAAATTTGGTAGTTTGTTGTGGCTTAAAGCTCATACAACTGTCCCTACAGCTAAATGTCTCAAAAATAACAGGATGGAAGTCGAGGTTCGGTGCTGCAGATGCAAGAAGAAGGAAGAAACAGGCCCACACTTATGGTGGGACTGTATCGAGTCAAAGAGAATCTGGGTGTGGTGGGAGAGACTGTGGAGCAAACATCTGGCCCATGATCTGGGTACCGAGGTTAAGTGGGATAAAAGGTTGGCCATCGAGGGGATGCTGGTGAACTCCAAGGAACTAGGCATTGCTTATTCACACCATGATTTTGTGATTTACTGGAGGTAGAGCAGTTCGAAACAGCAAGAAAAAGAGATTTTGTTTATCGAAGAGGGCAGACGACCATGATCGGCGGCGGAGCGCTACCGGGAGCACTCGCCGCCCGACGTTTGGACACGACGGCGGGCCTCGCAGAGAGAGCAGGAACGAGGAGGGACGGAGCGCTGTGACGGCAAGATCGACGTGAGGAGGCAGGCGGACGCGACGGCGGGCCTTGCGGATGAGCAAGAACGAGGAGCGGCGGGAGGGCTGCGATGGCGAGATTCACGTGAGGAGGTGATGGGAGAGAGTGTGTCTGGGCGTTGAGGCATAGCATCTCAGATCAAGGTCTTAATGGAGAGGAGAAATATGGTGGGTGGGAGAATAGAGGAGGGAAGGGTTTCACGGGTTGGAGGGAGAGGGCTACAAGGAAGAAGGGGGAGGATGATATTCGCAACATGGACTCCCCCTCATCTCTTCGGGCTACCTGCGAGGGGCGGCTGGCGGGCTCAGTGGCTTATTCTCGCAACGTGGTTTGGTATGCTGAGACGACAATCCTAGCTGCGGTCCTATTATCATCATCATTCGGTTTTATTGGTTGGTTGAATGGTTCTCAATCACAGGCGGCCGAGTTGCTTGAGAAGCCGATGAAGCGAGGAGGTGAGGTTTGGAGAGAGGGGGGGTGTATTTAGGGTTGTCAAGGGTAAGTTGTTTTTCCTCTTCTGTTTGACCTTGATTCTTAGACAGTGTTTGTCTGTCTTGAATCTGTCTGATTTTGCAACTAGTACTGCTATACTTGCAGCTCTTATTTCTTCTTTTGGTTATGGAATTCTTGATTTTGTATTGCTTGCATGATCATTCTAAGTCGATTCATCCGATGATGATGATCCAATAGTGGTATCATTGGTTCATCTTTTTCACGTTGCAATCCTTGTTATTCATATGATAATTTTTTTTTTTTAGCATCTTCTTGATCCACGGTCTGACCGTTGTTCTGATCCGCATCTTCCTGATCTGTGAGTGTTTTTTTGAACTCTATGGTTGGGAAATCAGTGTCGAAAGTCCAGATGGACATCAAAATTGTTTCTCGATTGCGTTTTCTCCTATTTGGATTTTTCAAGACATCCAACCCTTAGTTGATCTAGCGATTTTCTTCTTCCCAATCTTATTTGTAGCTCGATGGATTTTCTATATTTGATCTAAGCGATTTTCTTCTTCCAATCCTATTGTAGCTCGATGGATTTTCTGATTTCAATGGTAATTAGTTTAATTCTTGATTTACAGTCTGAGCGATTTCTTGAACTACGGTTATGGAAATCAGAGTCGAAAGTCCGTGAGGACATCTCTCTTTAGTTCTTCTTTCAAAATTTCGTTCTGAAGTGGATGCCAAAAATTCACGACTTAAAATTACCTTGATTACTAAGTGATCTCATCTTAAAATTTCACGCCTCAAAAAGATGATACAGATCTGATTTTCGATGAAAAGATCTACGACTGTGGTGTGCCTTTTCTGATTGCCTAGAGGGGAAACTAGAATGGGTGGATGGAAAGAATGAAAGGGGACTTTCAACAGACGGGAGATGTCGGTAAGGTGAGTAGGTCAGGAGAACGATGCTGGGACGACATAGACCGGTGCTGGAGCTGTGCTCTGTGACCCAGGGGGAGCTTGAGGTCCATGGAGTTATGCCGAGGGTGGAAGGCATAACCAGATCGTCCAACGTAGTGGGCACCGGGACGTGGACCTTTTAACCTGTTTAGGGGTTTACCGCTAAAGGAATTGTCGAGGGAGGAAGGCACTTCCTGTCCGTCAGAACTAGGTTGGTCGGTACTGGGGTGGGTTGTGGTGCCCTGTTACCCTAGCAGAGGGGGGTATGAGACGAGGTGAGTTCTGGTACGAGGACTGAAAGCTGGGACAGGCGGTCCGCTTGTTGAGAGGGGATTCTAGGATAGTTGGTATTAATTTCTAGTTTTGACCCCCTTTTATTCTGGATTGTACCCTGTTTGGCCGTTAAGGGGGACTTGAAAACGTTTAGGATTTTGGGGCTTCTATCCTAGGAAGATTTCCGTGACCGGCCGGTCACGCGGGCGTGACGCCCGGGCAGGTCCGGTAACCGGGTTTACCGGTCATGTAAAAAATCGTTTTTTTTTTGTTTTTTTTTTTTTGGTATGTGCCGCTGTTCTGCGCTTGTTGAGTGGAGCCCAAATCCGGTGTGTTTTTTTTTTTTTGCGATGTCCCCTTTC